ACCAGTCCCCAAACTCCACCCCAGACCAATTAAATCATAATCTCTAGGAAGGAGGTCCAAGCATCTGTATGTTTTTAAAAGCTCCCCGAGTGATTCTAGTGGGCTGCCAGGGTTGGGAGTCATTGTTGGGGTATGCCAGTTGGATATAAAGATTCAGATCTATTTCTAAAATATTATACAAGATAATTTTTTTTATTTCTCTAATAGCTGAAAAATATATCTTATTTATTTTTAATTGAGATATAAATCACATACCATGAAATTCATCTTATTAAAGTATGCAATTCAGTGGCTTTAGTATACTCACAGAGTTGTGCAACCACCACCACTCTCTAATTCCAGAAAAAACCCTTAGCTATTAGCAGTCACTCTCCTTTATCTCCTGACAACCACTCTTCTACTTTCTGTCTCCATGGAATTGCCCATTCTAGGCATTTCATCTAATGGAATCGTACAACATGTGGCCTTTTATGTCTAGCTTTTTTCACGTAGCATAACGCTTTCAGGGTTCACCTGTATCATAGCATGTGTCTGTACTTCATTCCATTTTGTTTCTGGATAATATCCCATTGTGTGGATATCCCGCATTTTGTTTGTCCGTTCATCCGTTGGTGGACGTTGGGGTTATTTCCAGTTTTTGGCTATTGTGGACAGTGCTGCTGTGAGCATTCACGTGCAGGTTTTTGTAAGGATGTATGGTTTCAGTTATATTGGGTATACAGTTGACCTTTAAACTATGCAGGGGTTAGGACGCCAACCCCTCCTGCAGTCGAAAATCCATGTATAACTTTCGGATCCACAAAACTGAACTGCTAGTAGCCTACTGTCAATTAACAACTTATTTTGTAAGCTATATGTATTATATACTGTATTCTTACAATAAAGTAAGCTAAAGAAAAGGAAATGTTATTATGAAAACCATAAGGAAGAGAAAATACTGTATTAATACCGTAAATTCACGTTGTCTGTCTACAAGACGAATTGTCTATCTGAAATGACAGGCAACCACACAGCCGCAGACCTCAGTTTCTGGTACACATCAAGCAATTCAACTTTTTCCTGTAATGTCATGACCCTTCTCTTTCCTTGGGAGCACTTTCAGCATCACTAGTGGCACTTCATATGGGGTGCATGGTATTATTCAGGGTTTACAGTATTGCACTAAACACGATGAAAACTACATGAGAACCGCAAGAGATCACTTTTTACTGGAATAAGCAGTTTACTGGAGAGATGAACTGCTCACATAGAGATCACTAGCATCTAGCTGTTGGATACCTGTGACACTTGAGTTCACAGCAGTAGCAACAGGAGGTGGCTATGAAATTATTACAGTAGTGGCCAGGTGCGGTAGTTCACGCCTGTAATCCTAGTACTTTGGGAGGCCAAGACAGGTGCATTACCTGAGGTTGGGAGTTCAAGACCAGCCTGGCCAACATGGTGACACCCTGTCTCTACTAAAAAATACAAAAAATTAGCTGGTGCAGTGGTGCGTGCCTGTAATTCCAGCTACTCAGGAGGCTGAGGCACAAGAATTCACTTGAACCCAGGAGGCGGAGGTTGCAGTGAGCAGAGATCACACCACTGCACTCTAGCCTGGGCTACAGAGTAAGACTTCGTCTCAAAAAAAAAAAAAAGGCAAAAACAAAAAAATTATTACAGTCATACAGTATGTACTGTATTTAATTTTATGCAGTGATTAATATTGCATCTTTGTTTACATTTCTCTTGACTATAAATGGTGCCATGTACAGTCTGTTTGTGCAAAAGTTTTGATAAATTTTAATGTTTTATAATAGATTTATGGTAGTAAATGATAAAATAGACTAGTATGTACATATATTTTATGCATTCATGACATGTCTTTTTCTTAATTTTTTCAACATTTCTAGGCTACATAGTTTACAAGTTTTTCCAAATTGTCACAAATCTCCAAAAAATGTTCCAACATATTTATTGAAATAAATTCACATATAAGTGGATCTACAAAGTTCAAACCTGTGTTGTTCAAGGGTCAACTGTATATCTAGGAGTGGAATTGCTGGGTTGCACGGTCACTTTATGTTTAACCATTTGAGGGGCTGCCAGCCTGTTTTCCAAAATGGCTACACCGTTTTACATTGCCACCAGCAGTGTATGAGGGTTCCGGTTTCTCTGCATCCTCATCAACACTCGGCATTATTTTCTGTCCTTTTGACCATAGCTATCCTAATGGATGTGAAGTGGTATGTCATTGTGGTTTGGTTTACCTTTTCCTGATGCCTTATGATATTGGGTACCCTTTAATGTATTTATAGGCCATTGTTAAGTCTTTTCTAGATAAATGTCTATTCATGTCTTTTGACATTTTATTTATTTATTTATTTATTTTATTTTATTTTTTTGAGATGGAGTCTTACTCTGTCACCCAGGCTGAAATGCCGTGGTGTGATCTCTGCTCACTGTAACTTCCACCTCCCAAATTCAAGTGATTCTCCTGCTTTAGCCTCCTGAGTAGCTGGGACTACAGGCACATGCCACCACGCCCGGTTAATGTTTTGTATTTTTAGTAGAGACGGGGTTTCACCATGTTGGCCAGGCTGGTCTCTAATCCTGATCTCAAGTGATCCTCCCGCTTTGGTCCCCCAAAGTGCTGTGCTGGGATTACAGGTATGAGCCACCATGCCCGGGCTCTTTTGACCTTTTAAAATTGAGTTATTTATTTTTTATTGTTGAGTTGCAAGAGCTCTTTCTTTATATATTCTGGGTACTAGATCCTTATTAAATACATTATTTGCAGATACTGTCTCTAATTCTGTGGATTGTCTTTTCACTTTCTTCATAGTATTCTTTGAAGCACAAAAGTTTTTAATTTTGATGAAGTCTAATTTAGCTATATTTTCTGTTATCATTTGTGCCTTAGGTGTCATATCTAAGCAACCACTGCCTAGTCCTGGGTCATAAAAAATATGTCTTTAATTTCTTCTAAGAGATTTATAATTTCAGCTCTTAGAGATCTTTGATCAATTTTGAGTTAATTTTTACATACAGTGTTAGGTAGATTTTATCACCCCGAAAAGGTAGGAGTCCTGCTTCATTCTGTGCGAGATAACTTGATCATACTAGAATATTGGAGCAGGCCATGGGGCTTGGGAGCTCCAGTCCCTTATTGTAATGGTGAGGCATGTTAGGTGCTGTGAGGTTCAATTGAGAGATAAACACTGACTCTAAGGGCCTATTTGAACCTAAAGTACCTCCTAACTCTTATGAAAGGTTAAAGTGTGTTCTCCATGGTTTCTATGTTCAGTCAATTTTAATAGCATTTCTAACATTGGGAAGCTAGAACTGATTTCTGAGGTATTATGTGTATCTTAACACCAGATTAATGAACATGACCAGAACATTGCATGACTCTATCACAGGTGAGCTGCCAACTCACTGTCATATTTTTAAAAATCTTAATTCTTTGGTAGATAACCAAGATTAGTTGAAATGCAAGTTCGGATTATGGATACATCAGACTCAGCTAAATGGAAAATGTATACCATAGAAGAAAATAAATTCCAGCCAGGCATGGTAGCTCACGCCCGTAATTCCAGCACTTTGGGAGGCCAAGGTGGAAGGATCACTTGAGGCCAGGAGTTCAAGACCAGCCTGAGCAACATAGCAAGACCCTGTCTCTACAAAAAAATTTAAAAATTAACCAGGCATGGTGGTATGTGCCTGTAGTCACAGCTACTCAGGAGGCTGAAGTGGGAGGATCACTTGAGCCCAGGAGGTCGAGGCTGCAATGAGCCATGTTCACACCACTGCACTCCAGCCTGGGTGACTGAGACCCTGTCTCAAAAAAAGAAAAAAAAAAAAACACAAAGAAGAAAGAAAAGGAAGGGAAGAAGGGAAGAAAGTAAGTTCTAAATAGATTAAAAAGAAGTTTTAAAAAATTAAAAGATACCTTTAAGAGTTTTGAAAACGATGTTGAAGCATCCTTTATTATAAAAGCCACCGCAAGTGATAATGATGTGATAATAGACCAAAAGAACGCAAGGGAAATCTTCTAAACAGACTCATACTATACAGGGAGGGGCAGTTTGGAAGGGGAGTTAGATCCCTACCTCATGCCACACTCAAAATATATCAACTGAATGAAAGATTTATTTCATTATTCTTTTTACATTTAATAAAGAGGTGCTTGCTAATGGAAGTAAAAAATTCAAATAGTACAAGTAAAATGAAATTCTTCCTTGACTTTCTTTTCCCCTCTCTGCCTAGCTCCACTGTACTCTCACTGCTATTTGGTGTGTGTTCTTCCTGGCTGATTTGAATATATACATATACAACTACTATGTATTATTTTGTGTATTTTTTAACACAAAGAAGATTCTGTTCTTTCTATTTGGTAACTTGCTTTTCCCCCCACTTAATAGGGTATCTCAGAGACCTTTCCAGATCAGTACATATGGGCTTACCTCATTCTAATTAGCCACTGTGTTGTATTCCATAGTAGAGATGTACCTTGTAAGCATTCCCATATTGGTAGACATGTTAAGAAAAAAAGAACATACTTGAACACACCTTTGTATGCCCAAACTAGTCTTTCTCCAGTATAGATTCCTAGTAGCAGATTTACTGGGTCTGATGGTATGTGTGCATTTCATTTTATTGTATTTTTTAGAGGCAGGGTCTTACCTTGTTGCCCAGGCTGGACGTGAACTCCTGGGCTTAAGCAAACCTCCCACTTCAACCTCCCAAGTAGTTGGAACTGTAGGCACATGTACCATGCCCAGCTAGCATTTTAAATTTTAATAAATTCTGCCAAAATACCATCCAAAAAAAGGCTTGGTGAAATTACAATTTTATGAATAGTATGGGAGTGATACCCTTGCCAACTTTTTAAAAATTTAACTTAATCCAATGGGCATAAATTATACTTCATTTAAAATTTTTTTTAATAAGCAGAGAAAAAACTTGTAGAAGGTATTATTTAGTTTTTTTTCTTTAGTCTATACACAGAAAACTGCCTGGGGCTCTCTTTGACAGCACATATACTAAAATTGGAACAGTACAGAGATTAGCATGGCACCTGTGCAAGAATGATGCACAAATTTGTGAAGCATTTCATATTTTAAACAACGTACTTAGAGATAGAAAAGAGAAAATTACCTAGAAGTGGAATGAGATTAGGAGAATTAGGAGGATTAGTTAGAATTTTTTCTAGTTAGAATTTTTATTTTCTTTTTTTTTTTTTTTTTTTTTTTTTTTTTTTTTTTGAGACGGAGTCTCGCTCTGTCGCCCAGGCTGGAGTGCAGTGGCGCAATCTCGCTCACTGCAAGCTCCGCCTCCCGGTTCACTCCATTCTCCGGCCTCAGCCTCCCGAGTAGCTGGGACTACAGGCGCCCGCCACGCGCCCGCTAATTTTTTCTATTTTTTTAGTAGAGACGGGGTTTCACCATGGTCTCGATCTTCTGACCTTGTGATCCGCCGCCTCGGCCTCCCAAAGTGCTGGGATTACAGGCGTGAGCCACCGCGCCCGGCAGAATTTTTATTTTCTAAATTGAAATTCTAGTTTCAAGTTGTTTTAAAATAATAGTTTTAATTTCAAGCTGTTTTAAAGTAATAAATGTATATTGCTTTTGGAACTTGAAAAAGAATAAAGATTTTTTTTTTTTTTTTTTTTTTGGTTGAGACGGAGTCTCGCTCTGTCGCCTGGGCTGGAGTGCAGTGGCCGGATCTCAGCTCACTGCAAGCTCCGCCTCCCGGGTTTACGCCATTCTCCTGCCTCAGCCTCCCGTGTAGCTGGGACTACAGGCGCCCACCACCTCGCCCGGCTAATTTTTTGTATTTTTTTTAGTAGAGACGGGGTTTCACCGTGTTAGCCAGGATGGTCTCGATCTCCTGACCTCGTGATCCGCCCGTCTCGGCCTCCCAAAGTGCTAGGATTACAGGTTTGAGCCACCGCGCCCGGCCATAAAGATATTTTTAAAAGAAAAATAAAGCCCTCTTGCAACGTAATTTGTGTTGCATTTTCTCTCAGTGCTGAGCAGGCCTAGAGTTGAAGGTGGCAGGTGAACTGTATATTAAAAGCCTTTGTCTTCCAGCAGTAGCAATACTGTACTTCTGTATGGCCAATTGTCAACAAAAGCCTAAGCATTTTGTGTCTTGAAACGATGGACTCATGTGCAGATAGATTGTTGTGTGCATCTGCACTCCCGGCCTGTTCATAGAAGACTTCCAGGGCAGCAAGCAGAAATGCTCGTCAGCCCACATTCTTATTTATTTATTTATTTATTATTATTTTTAATACAGAGTCTCACTCTATTACCCAGGCTGGAGTGCAGTGGTGCAATCTTGGTTCGCTGCAGCCTCCACCTCCCGGGTTCAAGCTATCCTCCCGCCTCAGCCTCCCAAATAGCTGGGATTACAAGCCTGCTAATTTTTGGATTTTTTTTAGTAGAGTAGGGGTTTCACCACGTAGGCCAGGCTTGTCTCGAACTTCTGACCTCAAGTGATCTACCTGCCTTGGCCTCCCAGAGTGTTGGGAGGCGTGAACCATTGCACCCGGCCTCCACATTCTTGATTCTAGTTGCTCAAGCAGTTTTCTCCACTCCTGTGCTTCTTTAAAGCAGTGGACATGATGTAAAAATTGAATGTTACCACTTTAGTTGGATCCTGAAGATGGGTAATTCATTGATAAGGACTATCATCCACTTGGATGCTTTCTTCAGAGTCCTGTCACCAAGAACGGATTGGCAGTCCACTCTGTAATTCACAGCATGCCTTTATTACTGACAAAGTTCCAAGTGAAGGGAACTGTTAACTGGGACTATTAACTCCCTTTTGTTGGGCTCCTGTACCCTGTCTGCAGGGGCTAGGGCCAATAGCCATGATGAGAAATGAGCACACGTGGCTCAAGAACAGAGCCTGTGATTTGCCCATTGGTACTGAGTCCGCCTTGATGGGAAGTCAGTGGCAATTCTTCCACCTAAACATCACTGACCTTGCCTTGTTGTTGGCCATCTTGTGTGTTGGCTCTTGACCAGAGAGGCTCTGCAGTCACTCTTTGGGGCTGTTTGACCGCAAAGTATGTCAATGGGTTAGTGGTTTTATGCCAAGGTAAGATTCTGATAGAAGGCAGTTAAGGTGGTAGTGTAAAAGCGAGGAACAATGATGGTTCTTCTTGAATACAAAACAGTGTTCTCTGCCACTAATTGATTGACTGCGAAGTCCCAGCCTCCAGGATGGGTACTCTTTGTAAGTCATGATTTCATTTAATTTTCCAAAAAGTCCATCCCACGACCTGTAGTCTCACAGCTAGCGTGTGACCAACACTGTATTGAGAGTGGGGTTTATGCTAATCCAGACTCAGCAAAATCTTGACTAACTGGGACCCTTTCATCTCATCCAACATATTTTAGGGGTCTCCTATGGGCCAGGCACTGGTCCTGGTGCTGGAAGTCCAGAGATAATGCCTCCCTTCAAAGAGTTTCTAGTTCAATAAAGACAGCCTCATTTAATCAAAAGTGTTGCACGTACTATACTTTTAGGAGAAAATTAATCCCAGGAAACAAACGTCTTAGGAGATATTTTACTCTAGGGAAAAAAGATAATCCAGTCTTTTAAGGATTTGTTTTTAGGATGATACACATTAAATCATTCTCCTGAATGTGAATGTTGACACCACTCTCTGGTCAGAAATGTCATTCAGAACAACAGTGTGAAGGGACTTTCATGGTATTCTGTTGCCCAAAGTGTTTCAGCTATGTTTACTCCTCATACCAAGATTTTTCTCAGACACTCAAGAAGCATCTTCACATCTTCATTGATGCAGAACAAATAGGAATTTAAACCCACATTTTCATAGTTGATTTTAGTACTCTTTTATAATCAGTGTAGGAGCAAACATTTTAAGTTTGTTCATCCCTTCTATAAATCTTGTAAATAAAGTTGATACTTGCATGTCACTGATGAATTCACTTCCAAGTTACCACCTGCGACCTACCATGCACACAGAGCAGTGGTTGCTGGCAGGTGTGGTCTGACCCTTCTTGTCTTTCACACCACTTTGTCCCTTGTCACAACCAGCAAGCTCCGCCCACTGCACCTGCCCGCATCCTGTGTGCTCTGCACATCCCTGATTCCCTAATTGTACACAGGTTCCTCCTTTTTTCTTTCTCATGGCACCCTTGGGCACTTATCCGAAACATAGCTTTGTATTTTTTTGTACACACAGCTGCCTGCTAGCTGTCCCTCCAAGAGCAAATACTGTGTCTGTTCTCTTCACCCATGTATAAAATGGTCATCATGGTGCCTCACTCATCATTAGTTTTTACTAAAGGGTGGGTAGATGGAACGTGAAAGGGTAGGTGGGTGGCTGGATGGACAGATGGAATAGTTCTTTCACCAAATAGAGATGGCCCCTAACTTATGATGGTTTGACTGAACAATTTTTTGATTTTACGATAGTCCTGAGGTAAAACACATTCAGTAGAAACCATACTTCAGTGCCATATTCAACAGATTACATGAGATATTCAACATTATTATTAAAAAGGCTTTGTGTTAGGCGTTTTTGCCCAACTGTAGGCTAATGTAAGTATTCTGAGCACGAGTAAGGTAGGCTAGGCTAAGCAATGATGTCTGGTAGGTTAGTTCTATTAAATGCATTTTTTTTTTTAGACAGAGTCTTTCTCTGTCGCCCAGGCTGGAGTGCAGTGGTGCCATCTTGGCTCACTGCAAACTCCGTCTGCCGGGTTCACGCCATTCTTCTGCTTCAGCCTCCTGAGTAGCTGAGACTACAGGCACTCGCCACCATGTCTAGCTAATTTTTTGTATTTTTAGTAGAGATGGGGTTTCATCATCTTAGCCAGGATGGTCTCCATCTGACTTCATGATCCGCCCGCCTCGGCTTCCCAAAGTGTTGGGATTACAGGTGTGAGCCACCATGCCTGGCCTATTAAATGCATTTTTGACTTAGTATATTTTCAACCTACAATGGGTTTATCAGGATGTAACCCCATTGTAAGTGGAGGAACATCTGTACTTGAGTATGGGGTACTTTCTAGTACTGGCCTGTTGCAGTGAATCAGATGTCACCTCTCAAGTCACCTTCTGGCAGGGGGGAGAGATATATGTGTACAGCGTGTCAGGTGGGGATGGGCACCACGAGCAAATAGAGCAAGTAAAGCAGAGTAAGGCAGGTAGAGAGAAGATGTGGGGATATTGTTGTGCATGTGTGTCAGGAAGGGCCTCATGGAGAAGGTGATATTTGAGCAGAGACCCGAAAGAAGTGAAGGGATGAGCCATATCTGATTCATGGCTAAATTCTCACTGTTCCGTGTTTTCAGAGTGAATTCTATCCGTGTGTCTATCTTGTCTCACGGTGCAGTTTTAGTTTTTGCCACACATCTAAAACTAAATACACCAGGTTTAGTGGAGGAGGGTCCCTGGGAGGATGGGAATGGGAGCTGCCTCTTTTTGTGGAAGGGACAATTCCAGAGTGGGAAAAAGATATTTATGGGCCACATTTTTTATATCTCCAATTTACTTTTTATTGTCTTGAGGAAGTAATAGATCTTTGAAAATGTACATTTTTTTAACTTCTCCTCTTCAGAGACAATATGAAATTAATAAGAACAAGATTACTTTACAAAACATTCTGGGCTTGGCAGGTTCAGCCTCATTTATATGTCATTGATTTCTTTACATTTTTCTCTGCATCTGTTGTAGGATTTTACAGGAGTCATAGAATAATGGGGTCAAATATTTCTCTTAATCTGAAAGGCGCCACATGAAAACAGGGTGGTCTGGTTGTAAGCGTTTCCTCCAAGTAGGACAGACGAATGTTACATATCCAATTCAGGTAGCAGGCAGGCTGTTTCCGATTGCCAGGAAGGCCCTTAGAACAAGCTGGCCTTCGTAAGTTAGGCTAGAGAGCGAATGAGGCAGTATATCTCTAAGCAGTAGCCCAAAGAGGAAAGTGATTGCTGTCTCCAATGGAGGAATCACAAAGGTGTGGAGGCCTGAGTGATATGTTCGCCTTCCTTTGCCTGCAACTGTGGACACAGTTATATGTGAGGCAGTGGCACTTGTCCTATTCGGGTACATGCATGAGATGGAAAGGCTTAGCTG